TGATGAAGAAGAAGTTGCAAAATATCAGGGGCGGGACCGAGGGAGGGATGTTGAATCACTTAAGAACTTTGAAGAACATGATCATACCATCATGGTGAATAGTCTCTTTACCATGTGATTTGCATTTCCTAACTAACTACTAGCTTTTCTATACTAAAAAAAGAAGAAAAAACTTAAATCTTCACCACTTAAAAAGCTTCTAACACACATGGGCGGGTCTACACATAGTTGATTGTGATTTGATAAATGCATTCCAACACTTCATCTTTGTTAAATCCTGGGCAACTAAAATGATAAATGCAATCAAGAAACAAATCATGTAAAGACAAAGTTCTTATTGAACAATGAGAAAAATGAATATGCGGAAGATAGAGAATTGATCCAATTGAATCGGGCTAGTTGATGATATGCTGGGTGATGTATATTAAGTATACAATAGCATAGGGGAGCCATTGTGTTTCATATGGAAATAAGATCAATGCATATTATCTTTTAAACAGATTTAAGCGTTTATTGGTGTCTTGCATATGCTGGTTGGCATGACTGTTTTGTCCACCCGTCCAACTTGAAAGGACATAAACCGTTTCTGCATGTTGACCCTAAGAAGTTCCTGTTCTCTTTCAAATCAGACTTCGAAAGAAAGAAGGAGATGAAGGGCTCCCCTTGGACTTTTGATAGAGCTTTGTTGTTACTGACGAGCACTAACAATGAAGTGGACCTCTGTCCGTTTCATTGGATTCATAAAGTTTTTGAGTGCAAGTGTGGCGTATTCCGCCGTTATTTCTGGCCTCGGCCATGGGAGAAACAATAATAAAAACATAATTACTAATTAACCAAGTGTCAAAAACAATAAAGCCGCGCGGCTATACTATTTTTAAAACAAATTAGGGAAAACGGGTATAGCCGTATTTTATAAATAAAAAAAAGTAAAAAGGGCATAGCCCACGTGTCAAAATACGTATAGCCGTGCGGCTATACTATTTTCTAAGACAAATTAATAAAACCGAGTACAGCAGAACGGCTATACAATTTTTATAAAACAAAATTAAAAAACCGGGTATAGCCCCCCGGCTATACTATATATACATAATGGACCCGGCCAGCGTTTAGGGCACGTGTCAAACCAGTACAGCCAAGCGGCTATACTATTTTTTAAACATAGATATTAATTTGCTAGTTTCAACATCCAAAGCAGATATCAGAGAGAGAGAGCTTCACAGTAAATCAATTAGAGAGTTCAAATTGTTGTTCTGGTTGGCAAAGAGATTACAAAATCACCATCCTGCATTTTTGTTACAACAAGTAAGAAATAATCTTAGCCTCTCACATTCATTCATAGTTAATAAAATACAGAACGGGTTATTTGACAAAATTTTGGCACATTACAACTTAAAAGTTCGACCACTATATTATATTTTAATATAAATTATTTACATTTTTAAATGTATATATATATATATATATATATATATTT